TTAATGATGACAAGTATGCCCTTAAGTGGGCGGCCAGCTTGGCAATTACATAAAGAAAATAAAACAAGAACAAATAGCAGGCCCATTAAGTGAGGCCCATCAACATAAAATAAAAGATAAAAAATAAAGGATATCACACAAGCAGCTGCTAGGGCCCATTCGGCCCAGCCTCTTTACATCCAGCAATGGTACCAGGTTACTCAATGCAAGGCCCAGTTCTTTTGTACAAGGGTCGCATGGTCCTCTCATCCACTTCAGCACACTTGCCTCAGTTATTACAACTGTACCACAGCTCACCAGAGGGAGGGCACTCAGGCATTTTAAGAGCATACCGCCGCATTGCATCACACTATTTTTGGGTGGGCATGAAGCGCATCATTAAGGAATTTGTGGCAGCATGCCCAACGTGCCAACTCCAGAAATACGAGGCGCAATCACCAGCTGATCTTCTCCAACCACTAAAAATACCAGAATTAGTATGGGAAGAAATCTCCCTCGGCTTCATTGGGGGTCTGCCCAAGTCTAAGGGATGCTCCGTCATATTGGTGGTAGTTGACTGATTATCAAAATACGCCCATTTTATACCATTGGCACACCCCTATAGTGCTGCAACAGTAGCAACCGTGTTTGTAAAGGAAATAACACATTTACATGGCACACCGAAAGCTATCTTGTCGGATCGTGATCCAACATTTCTAAGCAATTTCTGGCGTGAGTACTTCAAGCTCCAAGGCTCCACCCTCAACAGGTCTACAAGTTACCACTCACAAACAGATGGGCAAACAGAGGCTATTAATAAATGTTTAGAAACATATTTGAGGTGTTTCGCCAGTGATAACCCACGACAATGGGTTAAGTGGCTACCTTGGACAGAATTGTGGTATAACTCCACCTTCCACATCTCCCTGCGCATGATGCCCTTTAAGGCACTTTATGAGCGTGACCCACCTCCCATTCTTCCCTATGAAAAAGGATCCACCTCAGTAGCGGCGGTTGACAGTCACCTATCAGACAGGGACAACATTCTCAAAGAGCTCAATGTAAATTTGACACGGGCTCAACAACAAATGAAGGCCCAATATGATCAACACCACTGGCAAGTGGAATACAACATAGGTGATCTGGTTTATTTGAAGCTTCTCCCTTATCGGCAGGCTTCACTGGGGCGGCAAAGATGCCACAAGTTATCTCCAAGGTACTATGGACCATTTTCCATCACTGAACGGATTGGAGCGGTTGCATACAGATTATCTCTACCCCAGTCCTGTCGTCTCCACCCTGTCTTTCATGTATCAAATTTGAAAAAACATGTGGGTACTTCAGTTTACATTGCCCCAACTCTACCAGAATTTGATGAATATGGACATGCAATTTTTCAACCAAAGCAGGTCATGGGTTATCGCTGGATCAAACAGCATCAGCAGGTGGTACAGGAAGCTTTAGTCGAATGGCAAGGACTACCTCTAGAAAATGCAACGTGGGAGGCCTGCTCAGCTCTAAGGCAACAGTTTCCTCACCACATCCTCGAGGATGAGGCTGCTTTGGAGGGGGAAGGAACTGTTAGAAACCAAGACCGAGCTAATAAGCCAGTTATCAAACAAGTATACTCAAGGAGAAAAGCACATGGGGTAAAAACAGCCAGGCAAGATCCAGCTAAGCAAGATCCAGCTGTACAAGAGACAAGTGGCAATCTTGATTCTTGATTTCTTGATTTGTTACAACTACCAACTTGTACATCTATAAATACAAGGCAAAGTAACAAGAAAGCTATGAAAGATTCAACCCAGAAACCTCTCTGTTCTCTCTCCCCTCTCCCAATTCTTCTCTAAGAGATCACACTATCTCAAATCAGTGTCTGTATTGGGCAGAAACCCAATAACACTCCAATTATCGACAATTTAATTTGGAATATTTCCCACAATTGATCCCCACCTTATCCATCGAAAAAAAAGATCCCCAACTTTAGRCATTAAATCATTCACTAAATGCTATTTTGGTTTGGCAATACTCTACTAAATTCAGACTCAAGTCATATCAGTGAAAAATCATTTGGTATCAATGC